GGCGGCGGTCACCAGTGAACCCCGCCGGGGCAGCAGTGGCGCCCGTCCTGCACCTCTGCCCCGAGCCGTGGTTTTCTGTGTGACTCCTGTGCGCAAGGGGCGCGCAGCAACCTGTGAGATCCTGGGTGAGGACGAGTGGGGGAAACCCGCGGGACAGGGAGCAGAGGGTGACCCTGGTGGTGCCGTGCAGGGAAACCAGCGCCTTGGCTCGGGGGATCGAGGATGTAGGGGTGGGGTATGAGCAGATGGAGAAGGCATCGGGGAGAAAGGGCGGCGAGTTGGGATCTGCTACTGAACTGAACCGTATCTTCTGGGATGATAGGGAGCTTTCTTAGGCAAGAAGAGAGGTGTCTAAAGGAACGACATTTCCTAAAGTAGTTGGGATGCTAAGTCTTATTTTATAGGACGTGTTGAGTCTGTCTCTTTCCCCTCACATCTGAAAGACGCCTGCCTAGGCAGATTGCTCTTTGGTTGCTCTCCTGAGCTCTGCTGTCCCCATGCACCAAACTCTGTGGGCTGTGTACTCTGTGGGCCAGGTCGAAGTGCTGCCAGCATTCCAGGGTAGCTGGTTTTTCTGCAGCTGTGCACTGAAGCCAGAGGAGTTTTCGCTGGGACAGTAACCCACTCACTGCGCTGGAGATGCGTGGGATGATATGCAAATGTGGGTAGGGATATTGCGGAGAGCCAGCTAAGGATTGGCTTCTCGCTAAGACATCCTTCCTCTCAGCATTTCAGTTTTTGCAGTATAGATCCAGTGCCTTACTATCTTTGATTCAACTCTGTAAAGGGTAAATAAATTTAAAAAAAAAAACAACAAAAACCACCCTAACTCGAGAAATGTTTCTGTGGTGACCTGATCATGCCTCTGAAGCAGATCCTATTGGCAGAAAAACCTGCTGTAAATCGGCTAGGTTAGTGTCCTGCTACTGAGGGAATGTGGGCTGCACATTAAATTAGTCATCTTGAAAGCCACAAGCTACTTAAGAAAATGAATTGTTCATGGCTGTCTTTAATCCAAACCTCATAATCTCTCTCATAATCTCTGTTGCCTGATATCTCCAAATGCATTGAGAGGAAGCCAGTTTGCTTTTCTGCAGTGGCTGTGAGTGTTGAGGTAGTTTGGGTTTTTTTTCCTTTTCCTCTCTGGGGGAGTTTGCTCGTGTGCATGTTTCTGTTTTCTCTCTTTCCACCGTCAGCACCAAACACTATTTTGTCCACAGAGAATCAGCCAAGGACACATCCAAGGATTCTGTCTGTCCAGAAGTGCTGAATGTCTTAGACTGGCGTTCAGACAGCAGAAGCTTCTTATTAGGGGACTGGTGAGGGGATGTGATAGGAAAAGCACTTTAGATCACTTATGTGGCATCCTTTTCTTTTGGACCAGTGGCACACGATTTACAACAAGCTGTTGTCTTCAGGGACTTGCATTTCCTGCAGAACCAGGAGAATCTGTAGCTTTGAGGCTGACTTGTTGAATTTGTGTCGGCATGTAATGGAGGTAATGGGCTTAGAGAAGTGACTGCTCTATCTTCCTCCGCCCCAGCCCTTCACGAAGCTAAATACTTCCTTTTTTTCCCCTCAAGCATTGAAATAACAAGAGAAGGGAAACCGAGCTGTGTGGCAGCTGCAGACGTTCGTGAATATCACTTGAAGAGGAAATTTATTTTACCTAACCAGAGAACTTCCTGTGTTAGCTGTCTGTACTTCTAAAGATCTAGAAATTACGTGTAAGGCCGTGTGCATGTTGCAGCATTTCCTTGTGTGTGTGACTTATAAAAGCTGTTCGCAGGTAGATGTTTACTTCTGACTGTTGCATCTTTAGCACAGAGGTGTTCAAATGTGTTTCCTGCCCTGAAAGTCAGATTCAGCAAGTTTGCAAACGTTTTAATTAGCACTTGCAGAACCTTCTGCGGTGTAGTTCTTCCAAAATCAAAACAGAGTTGCTGTTCACCCTGCCCTGGAGCCCTGGAGCACAGACAAATCCAAGGTGGCTATTTGAGAAAAAATAAATAAATAAAAGAAAGCAGCTTTACAAGGACTTCAAAAAGCCAGTGAAGTGATAAAGCCTGGAAAAGTGCTTCCAGATAGTCTTCTAAAAGCCTGATATCTTTTTTTTTTTCAAATGAGGATTACCAGTAAATGATGGCAGAGTTGGTTTTTGAACAGGATTACAGCAGTTTTGGGGTGGGTGAGGATAAGACCTACAAAGCATCCAGACTCTTCTGACAGTAAAAATTCCTTGATTGAAGTACATGTAACCCAGTTTGTATTTTGCTTAACTCTATTAGCTCTGCCCCTTGTCCACACAGGTTTTCACCAGCAGATGAAGTGGTTCAGAAAAATAAAAGATGCGTATGGCCTTTGCCTTTATCCTGAACTCTTCTTTCCTGTTATCTGAATTTAGATCAGAGAAAGCGCCACACTGACCAGAGATGTACTTGAGCAACACTTTAACGATTTAAAAGGGACCCTAAACAAGCTGTTGGATGAGCGACTGATATCACTGCTGCAGCAAGTGGATGCTATTGAGCAAGAGAGCATCAAACCCCTGGATGAATGTCAGAAGTTGATAGAGCACGGAGTCAGTACAGCCGACGATGTGCTCCGGGAAGGTAAGGCAGGACCTGGTATTAGTATCTGTGTCTTAGCTCTATCTTCCAGCTTATGTCTCTCAAAGTCTGGAATGTTCCTGTTATGATCAGTATATTTGGCTCATTTTGGACTTCTTTCACACCAAATGTTAAGGTTAAAATTGGGTAGGTGTAGTGAAGAGCTGATCAATATTATCTCCTACAATGTCGTATTTTAATATTTCACTCTAGTCCTAGGGTGTACGTATGTCGGTGTGGCCTCTCCGTAAGGGCAGGAAGTACCTACTTTGGAAATGTCTTGCTGCAGAGGTGTTCTGTACCCCTCCGTGCTAGAAAGTGGGTTATGTCAGGCTACTTTGAAGTAAAACGTATCATGGGTACCATAATAACAAAATGTCTCCTGATTGAAGAACATTATTTGTGTGTTAGTGGAATAGCAGCTGGGGTAAACAGGTTATCTTTCCTGCTAAGTGTGATGATGTTCACTGCTGATGGGGAACGTGAGGAATGAAATAAGCACCGTATGGGAAAAATTTCTGCAAAAAGCCTGAGGATGACGCAGACAAAAATGGACCTGTGGAGTATGACTGGAAGGGCCAGTTTGTACCCTACTGATGCTAAATACCTAGCCAGAAAGGAATGTCACTCTTGACTGTTTTCCCCACACTGGAGAACCTACTGGGAGCATGTCTGAGCCATGAGTATGTTGGCAGTTTCCTTGCATTGTTCTCATGTCTCAACTTTAACTTTCTTTCGACATGATCTCAGTTTTGTGAGCTAAAGTGCACTGAGCAGTCCTTTACGGGTAGGAAGTCTACCAGCTTCCCCTCAGACAAGAGCTTTGCACTGAAAGACCATGCTGGCTTGGTTTATTGGATTTATTATTTTTTTTCTAGCACCATAAGCTCTGGGACAGCTGGTAGTCACCTTGTTTTGATTTAAAGTCTCATGTTACTGAATCACGGGGTGGTGAAACATGAGTTTCTATCAGATCTCATGAGAACCTGACTGGCTTTGAGCTTCTTATCCCGTGGATCACCATTCCCTTTGCGGCAGCAGAAGCATTGCTAAGTTGTGTCTTCAAAATGAGCAGACGTTGCATCTGAGTCAGAAAGGAGTTAAGCCTCCACGGTTATTAAATCTCCTGCTGCCAATTATGACGTGGGCTTTTCTTTAGAGATTTGGAACGTTTGTAATCCTCCACTTGGAAGAGGACTGAGCGTGCTTATGTTGTAAATTACCAGAAAGTCATCAGATAGGGTGGAATGGAGCATACATATCAAAGCTGAAGTGTGGCACGCTACTTTATATGGAAAACTTATGAAAAGATTGCTATTTGTCTCCACGCTTTAATGCATGGGTTGTTTCATTCATTATGTCAGTAGTTACCATGTAGATTGTAGCAAACAGAACAATGGTTGAAATTTTTTGCTTTCAAGCTCCTGCTTTTTTATTTTCTGCTCAGTGAAGGTGCTTTTTTCTTCCTTTAAAGCAGCTGGATGAAGGGATTAATAATCCCAATATCTGGCATCTGACCCGAGTTCTGCTACTGTCTGAGACCTGAGGCAAATTATTACATCTGTTAGGGGTGTGTCTGCAGGAGGCTTTGGGAGCTTCAAAAGGTGCTAGATAGGCTTTATATTGTTAAATGTAATTGTATTTTCTAGCAAAGAGTCTAGCAAAACTGCTGAGAATGCTTCATGTTAAATTGGTTGTTCGTGTCAGAACTGGTTCTTCTTTGAAGCAAGGAATGCCTTTTTTGGACGTTTTCTCATTAGGAATATTTTTACCATTTGATTCCAGGAGAGAGTGCAGTCCGTGGAGATGTGGGACAACAGAATGAGAAACTGTGCAGCTTTACAAAAAAAGCTTTACATATTCAGCTAGATAGGTAAGATACTGACACGCTGAGGTGTTCTGAGGCAGCGCCACATGTGCTTTTTTTGTAAAGGGGATTTTTTTTCTCCTTTGAAATAAAAGCCTTCTGCACCATTGCCTTCAAGGATTCATTGGAGGTGTTGCTGCCCTGTTTGTTTCATAGATTTTTTGTTGGGGCTGGCAGTCACAGAATGGAGTAGTTTTCAACCTCCATATGTTTATTTGTGAATGGTGAAACTACTTCTTGTGCAACAGCCTGTATTTCAGAGTATTTACTGAGAAACAGACAGTCTGGTTAGGGCTGAAACACAATGTTTGCTGAGTCTTTTAAGTCTGAAATGCACGTGCCAATTTCTGCAGCTGTTCTCTCCTTGCGAATCTGCGCAGATTCAAGTGTATGGACAAAATATGAATTTGTGGAAGCTGGCCCCTTTCATTACAGCAAACTTTCCTTTCTCAGCTTACCAGAAGTGCCCTCCTTGGTTGATGTGCCTTGTTTATCTGCCCAGTTGGATGACTGCCTTCTTACTATATTGAAAAATCAAATATTCAGACACGGCACTGTGGCATCTCGCCCACCTGTACAGCTAGAGGAATTCATTGAGAAGCCTGGAGGTATTTTAGTCCGATGGTGTAAGGTAGGTAAAATATCCTGGGTGAAAATCATTCAGACTTCAGTTTTGTTGAAAGAAACTGAAAAAGCCACTTTCGTTCTGGTTTCACTGCTGCCTTCTAAGGAATAGTCCACTCCAGTGTGCAGTTAGAAACTTTAGAAGAGATTTTTATGGTAATGGGCTCCTTTAAAGGCAAGGTAACCTAGTGATGTTGTGGTTGGTGCTGAGGTTTGTGTCTGCCTGGCAGGGACACTTTGTCACACTCTTGCTGTTGGTCTCTACCTGCTCCCATCTGCAGGCAGAGAGGGCTGACACCCAAATGCACCTCTGCCTCACAAACTCCTTCCCTGTGTGTGGGAAAGTCGGGAGGAGCTGAAAATGCTGCTTCCCCTGCCCATGCTTAACCAAGTACCAGGTACTGGTCAAGCAGGAAGGGCCTCCTTCATATACTCTCCCCACCAACCAAATAGATAGCAGAGAAATCTGTCTGTGATGCTGTTGTGCAAACAAGACCAAGAAATCCTGGTGTGTGCATTTCTGATGGAGGTGATTCACACGTAGCCATTTGCGCTGTGGAAGCGAGTGGTTTGTTTGTGTGGCAGCATCAGCGAAACGCTCAGTGAGACTCAACTTCATTGCTGGGTGATGCTTCTGCTCCCTTTTCAGACACTTCAGCAGACCCAGGATGAGGCTGAACTTGTTCTGTTACGCTTTTACACCTAAGCATGTTTGTGTTAGGGAGATGCGGTGGATAGAAAGAGAAAATATTTTAATATTGGCATTAGCTAGTCAAGTAGCCTTTCTCTTCAATACATAAACTATTTTTGAGTAATTCACTGCTGGGCTCTGATGTGGTTTAGTTGTTGTTGGACAGCTCTACATTCCTTGGCAGCATTAAACCAACTTAGATTGTTCTAGCCACAGCCAGCTGTTGGTCAGCCATCCTGACCCTGTAAAGGACATGGGCTCCAGTTATAAAACCATATTGTCACATGCGGTCTGATTTTTCTGCGCAATAGAGGAGGTCCCTGAATTTGGTCATGCTTGAGGGGTAGTGGAGCTTATGCTGGGGAGGGGAATCTCTCTTGACTTAAAAGATGTCAAAGAATTGGCAGTCATTCCTTGGAACAGTCTATGAAGGATAATCGTGAGCTTCCCTTGCTGTTAAAAACTGGCACTGAATTTCTTCTGCAAATTTGCCTTCAGCTTTTGGCTGAAAGATCTTGTTATATCTCTATTAGATTGAAAAGCCTTCTGTTTAATGTTTCTTCTGCCATAGTACTTTTAAACTGTGATTGAATCATTCTTATGCTTCCTCTTTTATTAGCTGGTTCAGACACTGATTTTATTTTCTGTAAGGCATGCTTTTAGCTCTTCAGTGCCTTGTGGCTCTGAATTGCCTTTGGCGGCCTGCAGTACTATCCTAATACGTGCCACTTCAGAGGCAAAAGAAAAAACCCTTGAGGTCTTTTGTTAATGTAATAAATGTTTCTCTAGGTGGATGATGACTTCATACCACAGGATTACAGACTGCAGTATCGCAAGAGTACTGCCAGTCAATTTGAAGATGTCTATGTCGGCTCGGAGACAGAGTTCATTGTGCTGCATATTGACCCTAATGTTGATTACCAGTTCAGAGTCTGTGCCAGAGGAGACGGACGGCAAGAGTGGAGTCCGTGGAGCGTCCCTCAGATCGGCCATACCACGCTGGTTCCCCATGGTACTGTTTTGTTGCTGTTCATCTTCATCCTAAGCCCATGTCATCAGTGCAGTGCTCCTGAAGGTCTACAGCTGAATGACTTATGGAGCTGCTTCTTGTGTGATGATGGGGTGTCCTTATCTGTGATGTATGTAATTTATGATGAACCATCCTTTCATCCTAGAATTTATTCTTTGCTTCGTAGTGTGATAGTGAGCCTTTCCAGCAGGTAGCTCACTGCTTAGCCCTGGAAAGCAGCAATAAGGCACAAGTAAAGCATTTTTTTTAACTTGTCCCTCATCTCTGCCTAAGCATTGTTTGATGACCTACGGTCACATAACAAGCTCTTATCTTGGAGAGAGAAAGCCATAAGTTTTATCACAAAGGCTTTCCTTTGCCTACAGTGACTTTGCAGGGATCGCAGCAAAGAGTGAAATTCTGGTGCACCCTGTGAGCTGGGAAATATCTTTTGTAATTGCAAATAATTTGAAAAAGAAATCTCTCCATCAGAAGGCAGCAAAACCAGCCCCTGATCTTAACGTAGCTTAAGCTTCATATGTGGTAAACTGGGTGGACGTTGTGACTGAGTTTATTTTGCAGACAGTAGCTGGCCTAGTTGAGGTTCATGCTGCCTTTTTTATTTTTTCTTTGAAGAATGGACAGCTGGTTTGGAGGGTTACAGCTTGAGCAGTCGAAGAAACATAGCACTTCGAAACGATTCTCAGTCATGCGGTGTGCTCTACTCCAAAGCTCCTACTTATTTCTGTGGGCAAACATTAACATTCAGGCAAGTACTTTCTGGATAGCTGTTGTCTGGTGCATCTGCTGTGAGCCAAGCTCCCTTCTCTGATCCGTTACATCCGAATTGTTTGTAAACCTGAGTCATGATGCATGTTACACATCAGCTCACCTCAGCCAAGGTAGCAGTGGAGGTTCACCGTTGCTGCTTTTTAACTTGGAGTCAGTGGGTTTTCTCCTTCCTAGACCTTGCACATGCTTTGGTGGCTTTGGATGTGAAAACATTGTGTGTGCTGCTGGGAAAGGTGAGGATGGCAGTCTGGTACTGGTGTCTTTAACATCTGAGATAATTAGCGGTGATCAGACTGATGCTTGAAACTGGCAATAGAAACCTGAGTGGAGAAGGGACCTTGTGCCATGCGAGCTTTTCGTTTGAGACAGAACGTGATTAAAAACCTTGCCAGCTTTGCTGCCTGTAGTCTCATCCCTGAGATGATGCTGTTTAATGGGGTATAAGGAATGTCCTTGTGGATATGTCAGTTGTAATTACAGACCTTGGAGACTCTGAAGCTTTATTCCATCTTTCCCCAGTTAAATAAAACTACTAGCTGTACAGTAGGCAAACCCCAAAGGCAATTTAAGGGAGTTGTTCATGACATTTTTGTAACTTATTCCATGGTGTTTCATTTCTCCCTTCATGATAATAAATTATCTTAACTTCAGATGGTTATAGTATCAGGATGTATTCCGTTGCCCTGTCTGAGATGGGATAAAAAGATCTAAGGCTTTCATTTGAAATCTGTTGCTAGGTTTAACATCTCTTGGCTCAGAAACGCCTGTGAAATTAAAGGCAGAACTTTGAGGTTTCCCTTGGTTCTCTTTCAGACCAATGCCTTTCATCTTTTTTTTTTTTATTGGTAACACATGAAAATGTTTGCTTTGCATTTTGGTAATGTGGACTCCTCTCCAAGAGGAGATTGTTTCAGGATGACTGAGCACTAACAAGCACAGGTCTGCAAGAACTGTAATGACACAAATCTTAAGATTGAAGACAACCTCAAAAATCGGTTGTGTTTCTCTTCCAAGGTCCAAGAGTAGCTTCTTGTTCAAAACTGTGTGAGATTTTTCTGAGCAGCGAGATGTGGTACTTGGCACTTGGCTTTCTCCATCTGTTGAAACAGAAGTGTATTCACAAGGGGATAACTGGCTTGCAGGGCAAACCAAATAAGCAAGGTTCACCTTACAAATGTTTGTGAAGCAGCTTTGTATTCTTCTGTGTTTGAGACACAAGCATACCTCGTCAGTGGGAAATGAAGCTGCGATAAATGCAGTGTTCTGTCTCTGCCTTTTAAAGACAGACTGCTTTAGACAGCTATTGCGTGTGATCATCCATGGGTTTACTTCTCTGTGCTCTGAGACAAATGGAAACTGGCGGTGGTTGAAGGGGTTCAGTGTCTTCATGCTGCAGTGACGGAGACAAGGTTTTGCTCTGCAGGATTGGAAGTGGTGAGAAGGGATTCCAACAGCGTCCCATGGAGTGCTGTTGCTACCATGTATTCTGTGGGATTTTTAAGATTTTAAGTCCTGGAGATCATACAGGCTGGAGAATAACTTTGCTAATGTGATAGGAAAAATCAGCTTGGTAAAGCAAAGCTTAGGAGATCGTGCAGTGATGCTCTGTGCTGTACTTGGGCTCTTTGTCTTGGGCTGGTGATTAATTGCTGAAAAATCAAAATCTGGTAAGGAAAGGAATGGTGATCTGTGCCAGATCTTGGTCCTTTTCCCTGTGCATGCAAGAGGAGGAGAGCCTCTGCAGAATTACAGGGTGGCCGTTGTCTTGGGCACTCAGGTTGTGCTTCCTCATTACGATGTGTGAAGATTTGGCTCTTTCCTGCTTGGCGTTAGCATGCAGCCCAGCTTGTTCTTTGGGAGCAAGGGTGGTGCTGTAGGGAGAGCAGTGGATGCTGGAAAGCCTGGTGTGGTGAATACAGGAGTGCACGGTGACAGTGCGGCCTCACTGGGTTCGGTGTGGAGACCCCCGGGAGAGCTGAACCTCAACCCTTCAGCGCGTCCTAGGCTGGTGCCTGTGTAGGTGCTCCCACTCTGGGTCTGCCATTGCTCCTGTTCAGGATTTGCTGCCCTGGTCCTTGTGTGATGGTTTTTCCTTCCTTCTGCTGCTGGTCCAGGTTACCTTGACAGAGCCCTGCAAAAAGGCTCTATATAAATGAGCAAGGAAGTGTGGATACAGCTCGACAGACAGAATTCCTGTTTTCTAATGAGTTTATAATTATGCATTTTTGGTCATTCTTGTGACTGTACAAACACTTAATTCCAATGCAAAACTCAAGAAATGCTCCCTTAACTAGAGATGGAATGAAGTGTAAGTGATCCTGCTCCTGGTCTGGGTGATCCTGCTCTGGCAGGGGTTGGACTGGATGAGCTTTTGAGGTCCCTTCCAACTCCTGAGATCTGTGATTCTGTGAGTTAATGTTACCTTATGCACAAAGTTTACAGATAAACAGAGTCTGAAGTCTAGAGTACCAAAATGAATTTGAAATTGCATTTAAAGTTGTTTTGGGAAAACACTGTGGATGACTTCCAAGTGAAAAGCTTCTTGGATTTTTTTTTATTTGCTTTGCTTTGCTTTACAGCACAAAGCTTTTGCTATCTTAGTGATATCCCCAGGGGACTGAAAGACCTAATGGAGTGCAAAAGTAAAATGTGGTTCCAATTTTATCGTCCCTGTTTGTCTCGAAAGAGTTAACCCATTGTGTGCCAGTCTACTGCCCAGCTCAGTTTCCAGTTCTTAAAGCTTCTCTGAGGTTTTTCTCTTGTTTGGAAACAACTATGCTTTGGTACTGTCCTTTCTCTCAAACTGTAATTAAAATAACTGCTGTTTTACTGCCTAGAAAAGACCATCTGAGTTTCCCAGGTCACTCAGGCTCTCTCTGAGGTCTGTTTTTGCATCTTAGAGAGGTGGCAGTACAAGAGGAAAGACTCAAATACAGAAGAGCCCTTCAGCATCCAAACCGTGCAGCCTCACTCAGCTGCGAGGGCCCAAAGGGAGCTGTGTCCTAGGTCATTTGCACAACTTGTTTGCTTTTTCTTCAGCGATTCTTTCCCAGGACCAAAATCCTCAATGCAGCTGAGCAGAAGCCAGACTTGTAACTGTCCTTCTAGGCAGTTTTTAATACCCATTTACACTAGGTTGACTTATTATAAAAACTAAACCAAACCAAACCCAAAACCCCACACACTTCCCCAAACCTAACAACCCACTACCACCAAAACACATCAACCTTCTGCCCCCACTTCTTTCCAGCAGAATATAGCAGGGCTCAAAACCCCTGTTTTAGTCATGTGGTTATTAAATACTTGCTGTAATACGTGATGTTGACCATTAATCTGGTATAGATGGCTGTAAATTGCAGTTTTGCACATGATGGTTGTTTCAGACAACTGGAAGTAATTTCAAAAGACTGTAAGTTGGAGAACTCACAGTGGAGAACTTCATTAAATAGCAATGAAAGTTTGCAGGAAGCAGACTGATGTTTTGTATGGACTTGCAGAGCATTGCTCAGTGGAGCTGCTGGGAAAGGTAGAACTTCTGGTCGTTCAACAGGGATCTCCCCAAAAGCTTGGGTCAATTTGTTGAAAGGCCTGGAGCACAGCCCAGAGGTGTGGTATGGCAGGGTATTACTGTCTGGATTTCACTGTATGTCTCAATTTAAAGCTTCAGGGTTTGACTTCACTTTTTGCTTGGTAGAATTGAAACGGTGGGCCAGCCAGACAGACGAGACAGCCTGGGCGTGTGTGTGGAGCAGCAGAACGGCTACGATTCCCTGCAGCGGGATAAAGCTGTGTGCATTAGCACAAATGGTGAGTCTCAATCACGTAATTGAAGAATGTGATGATTTTTTGTTTTAATTTCCCAAAACCCATGGCCTCTGGTTCTTTGTATCCCTGGATTACGCATGAGCAACTTCATCCACCATTTATTTACATCCTGCTTGTGCAGTTGAGATCTTTGGTGAGAGATCACAGGTCTCCTTTTCCTGCTTGCAGTTATTGCAACGTGTTTGGTGTGACAAAAAGGAACGTGGCAGGGTTGCTTTCCATTTCTGTTTGCCTGCAATAAGACGTAGTATTGCGTGTTAGTATGTAGAGAAAGTGAGAAAGTGAGTTGGGAAGCATGAGCAACTTGATCCACCTTTTATTTACATCCTGCTTGTGCATTTGAAATCTTTGGTGAGATCACAGGTCTCCTTTTCCTGCTTGCAGTTATTGCAACGTGTTTGGTGTGACAAAAAGGAACGTGGCAGGGTTGCTTTCCATTTCTGTTTGCCTGCAATAAGATGTAATATTGCGTGTTAGTATGTAGAGAAAGTGAGTTGGGAAAACAACAACCCGGTGCAGCACTACAGG